AATATAAAGTGAGATAATTATACGATTGGATAAAAATAATGATAATCAGGTGATAAATTATAAAAATTAAGAAAAAGAGAATTTCGCATAATCAAAGAAAGATTATCGAATTAAAGAAATTTATGTTACTACAGTAACAATATTCAAGCTTACTAAGTTTCTAAGAGATTTTTTAATAATTATAAGTTAATTCTTTTTGTTTAGCAATTGGTTTCTTAAAAGTTTGTGCAAAGAAATAATTTTTTATTTTTACTAAATTGATGTGGATTAATATTAAAATTAATTCTTCAATAAAAATTAGTTATAAAAGAATTGCTTGAATAATTTTATCATTTGATCAAATAATATAAGCATATTAAGAATTATTATAAAAAAATACTTTAATATTTCTAATATATTTAATATTTATAGTTTCATCTTGAACGGTAATTTCAATTTTTATTAATAAAGATCATGAAAATATTTGATAAATTATTTTATTTGAAATTTTTATGACAATTTTTATAATAATTTTTATGATAATTAATATAGTTTATTGAGAATATATAGTTAAAGTTTCTATACTCAGATTAAGGATGCTTGTTTAAATCCTTTCAGAAAAATATCATCATAATTTCGACGGGTTATATACTAATTGTTAATTAGAATTTTGACATAATTTCGGTTATGACGGATTTCAAAATTCATTAGAATTTTGACAGGTTATTTACTAATAGTTTATTATAATTTTGACAAAATTTAGACAGTCACTAAGGGATTTCAGCAAGCAACCTTAACTCAGATAATATAAATCAAAATTAGTATTAATATTATATATTTATCTAGATAATATTTTTTTTGATTATTTTATAAATTTTAAAATAATAATTAATTTCATTAATTTCTTTTTTATAATAAATATTTAAAATTTTCTTACAAATTTTATAGTTACTATTATTATTAGCTTTTTTTAATTATTAAATAATTTGTTGAATTAATTAATAAATTTTTTCAAAGACTTGAAAAATATTTTCAATATTAATTAGTGATAATAATTAAATATCTTGCTAAAAGATTTCTAGTATTTGTTGAATTTCATTTAATATATTTTGTTAATTATTATATGAATAAATTATTAATCTGAATAATATTATTTCCAGTTCATTAATATTTTGTTTTTGTTTTTCTTTATAATTGAAAGATTATTTGAATTATACATAATTTTCACAAAGTTTAATATTACATAAAATTAGATATTCTTAACAAAGTTTAATATTAATATATTCTAAATGAGCTAATTATAATCTTTTTCTAGTGCTATTATTAATATATAGCTTGAAATATTTCAGAAGCTGATACTTTTTCAGATCTATTATAAGAATACTACTTAAAATTATACAAAATAATAACAATATTCTTTGTAAAATAATAATTAATACATGCTTTAATTTAAATAATTTGATTAAAAATTATTAAAGAAATAAAATCTTTATTTATATTTATATTAGCTAAAAAGTTATTATATAAAACTAAATAATTATTTTTATATAAATTATTTTCATTTATTTTATAATTATTATTTCAAAAATAATATAATATATTTTCATGTTTCAAGATATTGATTATAGTATAATTATTATATATATTTTTAAATCTTTGTAATTTTTTTCAGTTATTTAATAAAGATTTGCATATTGTCTATATAAAAAATTTATAATACAAGTTCTTATTTAATAAGATATATTTGTTTTAATTTTGATTCTGCTTTTTATAGATTGAATTTATTTGTTGAAATAGATAAAGTTATTTTTAAATTTCTCTTCAATAAGCTTTACAATTTCTAATATATTAATATTTTGTTTTGCTATTACAATAAAATATTTTGATTTTTAATAATTTATTTTGAATTAATAAGTAACTTTTTATTTCTATTTGACATTCAGTAAGTTTTTCTAGTATAACTTATTTAATACATTTATATTATATAAATTTGAGCTAACTATATATTTAAATCTGTAAGTGACCCTTTATTTTATTTAATATTCAATAATATAACTTCTTTAATATATTGATTTAGACTAATAATTTATTAAAATCTGCAAATGGTTCTTTATTTCATTTAATATTCAGTAAGTTTTTCTAGCATAACCTATTTAATGTGTTTATATCACATTATTAATTAAACTAACAATTTGTTTTAAATTTGCAAGTAATTTTTATTTTCATCTAATATTTAGTAAGTTTCTAATTTATTTAATGTGTTTATATTATATTGATTTAGACTAAAGATTTATTAAAATCTGCAAGTGATTCTTTATTTTCATTTAACATTTGATAAGTTTCTCCATATATAATTTATTTAGTGTATTGATATAATTTGGGATTATAATTTATTTGAATCTGTAAGTGATTCATTTCTGGCTATCATGCGATAAGTTTTTCTAGTACAACTTTATTTATTTACAATCACAAGTGATTCTTACTTCTTTTCATCTATTGCATTTAACACAACTAACTTCTAATGATTTTTTAATTTACAGGTGATTTTTTATATTTTTTATTTATACGTATCTATTCTTTGCAATATTCATGTATTGATAATTTAATTCTGAAATATAAAAATTAATTCACTAATAAAAGTTACATAACTATTATTTAATAATCGGAAGAAGATAGGATGTTTATTCAAAGCTCCCTCTGCTTATACAGTCAGATCTCCATAAGTGCACGTTCTATAAATACACGGATTAATATAAATTCTCTCTAAATGCACGGTATAGCTTGGTTCCTAATAAGAGCTCTATGCATTTTGATCTCTATAAATGCACACCCTCTCTAAACGCACTTTTTATATTTTTTCACTATGGTCCCGAGGGAGATGCACTTAGGGAGGTCTGACTGTATTTGTTGTGTCGGGCAGGAATTGCGAGGTTACGAAATAATTTGATTGGCTGAAGTGAAGATCTACAATGTCGGAAACAGATACCGGTTCGGAAATCACATGACTCAACTTGTTTTGCCGTGGCTAGGGTTCTAAAAATTGGTTCTTTGTTTCAAGTGATATCGATAGATAAACAAGTGTAAAATGTTCGTTTTTCTTTAAGGCTTATAAGAGTTAATTAAAACAAGGCGACAATTTGATCTTGAAAAATTGCGCGGACTAGAAGTTCTATAACTTTACTATTTATCGTTATTACTTTCATTACGTTCCTTTTGTGACCAATCGCACAATCACAATCATCACTGATCTTGTGTATTTGATATCGATATTTTTAAAAAATAGTTCTCAAATATCTAATAGTATTCGAGCTTGACGTTGATTAATAATTTACTGTGATTTTTGTAACGTTAAATAAGCCAGATCTATTATTGAAATTCTTAAACAGAGTGGCAATTGCTTTGAATTAAATAATAAAATCCATGTCCTAATTAAATTAATTGGATTTTTTACTTTAATAAGAAATGGTTCATTATTGTTATTAATAGTTATTGGACATACCCGTAAATTTATTTCACTGTTAAGTCTATTGATAAATCCTCGGTATTGATTTTTTAGCCTTGATCAATCCCTCATTAGTAACATGATTCGCGCCTGAGATATCAAGTTCAAATAATTTTCCACAAGAGTTTAAGGCAATCATATTCAAATGCTCATCAGAAAAATGAATCGTCTTTAAGAAAGAAATCTTCTGGAATGACGCCCGAGTTACATCGAAGAATTGTTTGATTGAATTCGGCATCACGTCAAAATACACGTCAAAAATTAAATCTCGTATCTTCGTAGGTGGCAAGTTTCTTCCAAGCTCGACTAGAAAGTAGTCTTCTCTGATTTCTCTTGTCGGAGGAACATCACCATACGCGAACGATAATACACTCAAATTACGCCATCCTTGCAAATAAGGCAACAGAAAATTTAGACTTGAAAGCGTGCATATGAATCCACCCCAGAATGCAGTAAATTCGGAGTATTCGGAATAGAGATGAATGTGCAGTTCAGTAATATTTGGACTGGTTTTGGCGATTAATGGAACTATTTTATCAGCACGTAAGTTCGATATAGTCAATCGTCGTAACATTGCGAGACTATTTTTCACTTCTGGGTGATTAAATATCTTGAATTGATTATAAGTGAAAGATTGATTTTCACAACTTGATTTCGCAAGACGACGTGATGCCGCAATAAAATCCAAATTCAAATCGAAGAAAACAGTTCCACCATCAATCAACAATTTTTCGAGAATCGCCGTGACAACATAAATTATCGGTGTTTCCGTAAAAATATATTCATCTTCAATTGTTTCACAGAGTAATGGCAAGTCTAATGATTTCATCATCGTCGTATATGGAAACGTCGTTTCGAGTTGTTGAAATAACGGAAATGCGCGTAATGGATGCTCGGCCGGAAGACAGAGAATAACAAGTTGTCGACCTAAACCTTTTTTGGTCTGGACGAGTAATGGATTTCGCCAAAGTAGTCGAAGTGCTGTTTTACACCAATGGCGATTCACTAATAAACTTGAAACTAGAGATGATTTGTTGGCAAGTAGACATTCGAAGATTTCTTCGAGACATAATTCAGGTAGTGTTGAAACAGTGGACATTTTGTATTTTATATTCGATTAAAAGAAATTTAGTTCATCACAAAATACATGTACATATATCGATACACATTTTTTTTAAGGTTACTCAATTGAGAATTTTTTATTTACCGTTACTGTTACCGTTAGTTACCGTTACATGTTGATATTAATTTTTTGTGATCCTTTGGCCATCGTGGCGTTTATGTGGCTTGTAAGAATTTTAATGATGCCCGGATAATATTAATACGTAAAGGTATGATATGAGCTAACGTTAATAGCGATAGTAAATGTTCAAGTATTTTGACCACTTTAAGAATGTTGATTTTGTCTATTTTAAACCCTATCGTTATACATGTGCATGTGCTTGTGTAGGCTAATAATCTTGTTTGAATTAGTGTTTCAATGAACTACGTACCCAGAAAAAATTTTGCGCTAATTAAAGATCAATTATAATACGTATCAAGTTTAGGGTTAGAGTTAGAGCGGAGATTAAGATTATATGATAAATTTGCGTATCCTTATTGGTTTGTGCTACCCGGCACGTGATAATTTATTAGCGCAAATTCGAGCAGCCCGGAAAAACCAATCCGAAACAAGAAATACGGAAAACAGGTACTAATAAAAGATGTTAGGGTGACACTTTCACATACGTACATGTATAATCTGCTCTTATAATTAATCTTTAATTAGAGCAAAATTTTTCGGGGCTCTTGGTAGTTCGATGAGTCAAAATGAATCGTATTTTTGGTTATGTACAAGTTCGAGTTCAAGTTCAATTTGAATTTGAGCTCTAACTCATAAAATAGTTCTAAGTACGTATAATAACAATCGATATTTATGGAAATACAGAGCATTACAATTTTGTTTTAGAATATAAATATATATTAAAGTTGTAACCAATATTTCTGGCTAGAGTATCACGATGAATATCTGTAAACAGCAAAATTAAGATATTTTAGTTTGTCAAGTAAACTTTAATTATAACTGTTTCATATTGCAAAATAAAAGTTGTAGTTTGTCAAAGTAAACGTTTATTTTATAATATAAAACATATTAAATAATAATAATTAAAGTCGTAGCCCATGTTTCTGGCTACAAAATAGTCTATAGAAATCACAAACATCGGGGTTAGATACACAAATAATTTTGTCCACTAGTTTTCTGATTTGGTAAAAGTATTTTTTTAAATGTCCACTTTAATATTACCCGGGTCCTGTTTCTATCGCTATTGTGAATTTCTTTGTCTATCGTTATGCACAAATGACGTGTAACAAACAGAAACAACAAACAAGTATTTAAAAAGAGACCAAAAAAATCATAGTGATAGCATGAATATGACGTTGTGACACATATTCCCAGTTAAGAAATTGAGAGAATTCATAATATGTCGATTTAAAGAGTTACTACACCATAGAAAAAAATTTATATGATTATTATGTGAGTTTTTTGAAACACCTTTTCTTGGCATCAAAAATTTTTGCAGAATTCTTTCATTACACAGTCATTCATCTAAAAATATCGAATTTAACCCTCAAGTGACGAGAAAACTGGGTGTCCTTAAATGGAATTTGTCCATACAACTGAATAAGTTAACCAGTACCACCGAGACTTTTCCACCCCGGAAATTCTTTGATTCAATATCGATATCAGTTATCGTTATCGTTATTGATATGATATTGATATTTGCGTGTGACAAAGTGCGTGTAATATTATTTTTAATATGTTAACCAAACATCACTGTACGTAACTATATGTTTAGATTATGCAACCTAAAAATAAAGCAACAAGAAAGGCAATAGGATAAAAAGATAGTTTTTGAAAAGATGTCTGCGTTGAACTTTCGACCGAGATATTGGGCTGGAAAGGTTTGAATTTTGATATATTATACGTATGTGGATTTTGAAAAATTTAATTCATTAGTTAACTGTTTTCTTTAAAAAAGATGTTGAAGCGTACATCTTTGATTGTAGCCGAACAAAATAATAATAATAATAGTGATAGTGATACAAATAACGTTAGTACATATAATATAATCACACAAGCAGCGGGATTAATTGGCCAACAACAACAGCAGCTTGGTATAAACGATCAAGAAAGACGAATGCAATTATCTGAACAAGATCCGGACACCGAATCTTCAGCTTCAACACACCAACGAGAAATTGCAACTACACCTAAAAAATTAAAGCTCACATTAAAAGAAGAACAAGCAGAAGGTTTAATCGAATATTTAAAAGTGAATTCCCCAACTTTGGCAAATTTAAACGATTTGAAATCCCTAATTGAACAACCAAATAGCAATTTATCAATCGAAATTCTGATACATGCATTAGAGGTATTACCAGCAAAGTACAATTCTCAAACATACGATACCGATACAGCTATCATATTTGAACTACACTCTCGTATTCTCGTAACTCTATTGCACGATATTCGATGTCAGTTGGATACGACAAGTAGAACTCTTTCAAAACAACTTCGTGAGAAAATATATGAAAACTTGACCAATTTTGAACATTTTCATCATCTAAACACCATTGCTGTTAGCGCTGGCGTTTGGCGAAATTACAATGTTGACTTTTATTTGGCAATTTCTCGTGATATTTTGCATTGCATTCCAGACAATGAATCAATACATACTTCCTGTATTGCGGCTGAATTCACGCAACTTATGAATTACGGGGAACTTTCACTACTCCCTTCGTCAACATCTCGAAAAAATTTATTGGGTGATTGGGAAATTGATGCCGATGCATTTAATCAGCAATATAAAGTATGCGATTGGCATTTAGATTGGTGTCGATTGTATCAACCTTATCGCCAATTATACGAATGGATAAGTAATGTGCGCAAAGAAAGTGCAGAAATAGAAATGATTAAAAAGTATGCTGAAATACAATTATTTAATGAGCTTTGGTTAAATGCGAATAACGTCTGGGCGCATGATACGTCTTTTGCGGGGGACTCGTGTGAATTTTTTAGTGCTGGAACCAATAATCAAGATGGTATGTTCTTATTACAGTATTGTATTAACGTGGTGAATAAATAATCCATTGATATCTTATCGTTATGTTTTCCTAGATCTTTTTGGAAGCAACCCGATATCTCATCCTAATTCACTTTGGTTCGGTATTTTGGATATAGTGCATAAAGTATTAATAGAAAATGAAATTCAACATCCGGTCAATTTTATTCTTTGCTATTATCTGGCGCTACGATCATTGGAAAATTCACCAAGCGATTTCATCCGTTTCAAAGCCCTTGAGATTTTATTATTTTTCAAATGCAAATATAGTGATTGGACAACTGCTGTCGATTCGGATTTAAAAGTTTATCGACAACTAAACTCAGATTCATTGGTGATGTCTCAATTTGACGAACTCGTAGAAGCCATTCAAAACAAATGTAAATATGAATTAACAATACGAGACCAAACTGATCAACTTTCTGTAAAAAAAGCAGAAAACAAGTCGAATTCAAAAAACCCCTTCAGAATCAAATTACCTACAAACAACAAACTAAGTCATCATCAAATTCTATCAAAGGAAATCACGAAACATTTAATGTGTCCCGTGTCAAAAAAGTTGACGAACGAATTCACTCTTTATCCGTGTGGACACGTTCTTGGTTCTGACTCCGTCGAGAAACCGGATAATCTTTTTTCGAATATAACTTGTTTTAAATGTTCAACAAAAATAAAATATAAAGATTTAAGAACCATATCTGTCGCTGCTATTATAGAAGGTATAGAAGATCGACTCACTGATACGGCGAATTCAAAGTTAACGGAAAACACATCTATTATTAATAACAATAGTAATGATAGTAGGAGAAGTAGTACAATGAGAAACTCGAGTCTTTTTCGAGTACCTCGAAAGCTGTGCAGTGAACAACGTAAAGCAAATGAAGCTTTAATGCGACGAAAATGGGATTTAGCAATCGTTCATCTAAACATAGTCTTAGAAGATTATTCAACCAGTTATTCAACACGTTGCCTACGAGCAAAAACACTATTACGAACACATGATTACGCAAGTGCATTCGAAGATTTAAACATTGCAATAAAGCAAAGTCCACGTCGATTAGAAGCATTTCGTATTCGGGGATACGCTTGGGGTTTATTGAGACATTGGGATGAATCAATGATCGATCTACACAAAGCATTAGAAATTGAAAAAGATAATTCGGATACACTTGGTGTTCGAGGTGCGATATATGGAATGATGGGGAAATACGAGGAAGCATTGAATGACTTAACATTATCTTTGAAAAAGGAACCGGATAACGCATTCTCATTAAGATATCGTGGTTGGATTAATTTTAATCTGAGAAACTACGATCAAGCTTTGGAAGATTTACAGAAAAGCTTGACTAGGGAACCTAATAATGCATTTGCAATTCGGCATCGTGGAATGGTATATCATATTCTGAGACAATATTCTAACGCATTGTCAGATTTCAATAAGGCGATACAATTTAATGAGGTACATATTTTACTTTATTCATGGTTCTACATAACGTGTGCATAATTAATCGGTCAATGATTATATAGGAGGATTTTGTTATCATGCAACTTCGAGGCGACACATATATGAATCTGGGGTATTTCAATGAAGCGTTAGATAATTTAAATAAAGTACTCGATGAAAACTCTTCAAACAGCTTCGCATTACATACCCGCGGTACTGTTCTTCGTCTTCTACGTCGACACGATGAAGCATTACTCGATCTTCACAAAGCAGTAATGCTAGACCCACTAAATGGGGTTGCACTTCGTCGTCGCGCCAGATGTTACCAAGAGCTCGAATACTATAACGAAGCATTTGTCGATTTTGAGAGCGCGTTAAGCTCTGACCCTACAGATATTTACGCATTGAAAGAGCGAAGTGAACTTTATTGTCAGATTGGTGATTTTCAGAAAGCTATTGAAGATCTGAACGCGATTGTCGAATTGGATCCGAATAATGTTGATGGTTTCAAGCAACGTGGACTTTTGTACTTTCAAATTGGAATGCAGGAAGAAGCCAAGCGAGATTGGGAACGTGTCAAGGAATTCACTAATGTGAAAAGGGAATGAATAATTACATTGTAATTATTTTTGTATTTTTATTATCGTGATTATTATTAAAGTATATATCGCGACAAGCATTTGAGTTATCCATAGAATTCTACAATATATACCCTACATAATTTTTATTTTCTTTGAAATTTTCTTTATTTAATTCTATAGAACAACGTACATATCAATCAAATCATTTAATGTATAATTTTTTTGTTGTTCGTGGGAATCCAAAGGACAAAATATGTTTGAAAGACACACGTCAATAAATTTCTCTTAAGGTGTCCCTGTGAGAAAATATGATAGTGGTCGTCACCAACAAAATACTCAAATCTTGAAAGTAAAATCATTACCGTTACGTCCAATTTGGCTTATCGTTATACTGTAATGACCATTTGTAGCGATACTTGTTAAATTGTAAGTACATGTAATTGCTTTCAATTATGGTTTATAATGAAGATGTACGTATTTTAAATATTTATTTTTTTTAAATTCCAATCTTTAGGCCCTAAAAACATTACTTAGAACGGCCTGATGCCATTTCTAGACTCAATCTCTTGCCTGTATATCGGTATGCCTTAACTATTTTCGTATGAGCAGTTTCAATTATCACATGTACATTTACGTATAATGAAAGTTTGGAGGGACGATGTTTACGGGTGCCGAATAAAATTGCACAGTCACCAGGTATTGGAACTGTGGTCAGTTATATTGCAAAATACAGTTGACTCTCTATGGCGAACCTTCCTATAACGAACTCTGGATATAATTAACCTTGAATTTATATTAGTTCGTTATAGAAAGAGTAGTGGGCTCTATAGAAAACATAGTAATTTTATAAATATGCTTCTTTAAGGATTTTCGAACAACTGGTAAACGTAAATAAATCGTGAAACACAAAAAAATTCCTCTTTTATCATTACTACATGTAGTACCCTAGCCATGGCGAATAAAATGTACGGTGCACGTGATGATGAACTAATCCAACCAATAAGAATGCGCCAAAATTCTGCGCAATAGGAATGTAGCAAATTTTTGATCAACCCGACAAAAAATACGAAAAATACAAAAAAACAATTTCTAAATCTAGCGCACTATCAAAAAATAATTTTATATATAATCTTGATCTCGACTCTAACCCTAACCCTAATCCTTGATATCTAATATTAATCTGATATTTTAATGGACTTATTTCAGATTATTAGGGTACTAGTATCATTACCGTCATGTATGTAGATTGCCAAATTTCATTGTACCGTTACAGTTACGCCTAAAAAATAAGCTTATATCGATATTAGTTAGATCTGCGTCAATAAATTTGGGTGTTCAGAAAAATACGTTCGTAATTACATGTATCCCAATAACGATGACGATAATAATACGTACGTACACCATTCAACCTTAGAACATATATATACTAAAAATTCCGGTTTATACCATGTCCCTGGACAGCACCCACCCCGTCAAAACGCGATCGACCTTGTGCAATGTGTGTAACATATTTCACATGTTGCACATCATTCTTTGTTTTACGACCAATAAAACGATCTTTTCAAACATCTGACAACTAAGCGAAGCAATTATTTGCGAAGTAGCACAATGGTAGAGAAATTTTGCAAAAACTGGCGTTCCACTTCGCTCTTGTGAATGTTACGTTCGAAAAATGTACAACTTCCGGATATTCGTCGTCCACAAAAATTTCGCCGAATCGATCAAGTCATAATTCAATCATTTCCTTACGGCGGCTGAAAAAAAAGCGCAGTTTGAAGAAACACACCCAGGATTCGAGTTAGTTGTGCAAACTGTCCGTGACAAGCTTTATAGGCTCAATTATATTGCTGCTTTGCTGAGACGCGTCCTCTTCTCACCGCTCATAACTGGCACAAGGTTGTATTTCCGATGAAATAACCTTGCAATTATCCTCTGGCATGACCGCATTTTGGAAAAACTTAAACACCTCCCCCCGTTAAAACTGCATATGTGAGGAGTGATTTGTGCACACAGGCAAAGTCGGAATGTGGCAAATTCTTATCAATTATTCGTATAACAATGCAACTATGAAATACATGTACACGTCCGTAATGATCTCGAAGCTCGGCTGCGTTCTTCTGTGGCCATCATACAACCCCTGATTTTAATCCAATCGAAAATATTTGGACAATGTTGAAAAAAGGTTAAAAAAGGTTAAAAAGTTTTTGTGAAGTTAGTGGAGGAAGAGTGGGAGAATCTTCCGGAGGAGGTGATCTTTAGCAGTGCCAGCCAGCAGTATGCAAAATCGTGTTCAAGTCTGGATTGACGAGGGTATACTAAATATTAATGTTATATGTGTGTGGGCTCATTGCCCTAAATCTGACCATCATTACTTTCCGTGCGAACTGTACATGTGATTATAGAAAATAGCGATATTCATCTTTTCAGCCAAAATCGGTGTCCCGAAAGTAAGCTTTTTTTCCATTAGTAGATGATATTATCACATTATCTATCGTTATTCACATTATTTAAAAAAATGATCGCAAAATGAAGGATTGTGCTCGTCAGAAGTAACGTACCCCCCCCCCCCCTTTAACTTTCCATAGATCATGCGTAATGTACCAAAATTTTCCGAGCATTACAAATGCTGATCGTTGATACTTTAAATTTGGGTAGTCTCAATAAGACCCGACGTTTTATTTTATTTTATTTTCTTACATGTTTTAATTTTCTTACATGTTTTAATTTTTTTCTTGAAGGCAATCTCAATAAGCCCTTCGGTTATTATTATCAATCTTTCTTAATTCTGATCTATACGTTGGTCGGTTTGCGCACAAGCTGCCACAGGAGACCTCTAGAACCATAAAGAAAGCCTTTATTGCGTAAATCATTCAGTCTAACTCCCAACTGACGGTCACAATCTTTTTCTTTATTTCTTAATCTTTTATTTCTAACGTGACAATACTATACTAGGCATGAATTGGCATTTCATTATGTTCACTTCCGAAGAAATTTTTTGTACAAGCAATAATGAATACCAAATAAATCTCATGAAAACAGCATTTAGGGAGTCGTGATACTTTGAGGGATAACGTAAAAGAGGTAATTGGTATAATTGTGGTGTTATTAAAAGATCAGGTAATAGCATGCAATGAACCCGAATCTAAGAAGTGACACGTACAAGAAAACATTGTCAAAAAGTAATGAATAGATAGTTTCCCGCTTCACATGTAATCAACTGTGTCGAGCTATTTTTATTTGTACCAATAAATCAGACTGAAAAGGTCATTTTTCTGATAATTAATTTATTGCAGAGCAGGCTCATAGGGACAAGTCTATGACTCATGACACTTGCGTGTCTGACACGTGTTAATGATGGTATTACGGTTTTATTTCATTTGGGATCGTTGCTCCGAGATGCGCAAATTCGAGACGTGCAATCCGAGTGAACTAACCCTTATTATGACGCGGATAACAGTATAAAAGGTAGAATAGATGGGAAAGTGAGAGAGTCTTCTAAATCCATTACCACGATGAGTAAAGAGAGTGATGACCTTCTAGATCATGATTATGAGTATGATCAGAATTAAGACAGTTTACTATCCACGAGTCCTCTGCCAGAAATTTCCAGTGACTTGGGTGGGAGTGAAGAAAGCCATCTCGTAGTTATTCATCGACCAAACTGTGATATTTACCATGTATATCCGATGCGCAACAAATGTCTCAAATTAATTGCATTGAATATTCTCAAATACCTTCCAGAAGATATACTTCGTGAAGAGCCAGATTTCTCAGCAATTAATACATGTACAAGTGGTGTCAACATTACAGATTTTGGATCATCTTCAGAATGTGAAAACCAGTTTTAACAAATAATCCACCCAGTGCTTGATAAAAGAGGAGCTATAATATGTGCATGTGGCACAGACGACATTATTACCTAGCGCTAGGTTTCAGTATGATGATGATAATGATAACGATAATGACGATGAAGATGAAGCAGAAGAAATTACAAAGTCACAAGAAAACTCCCGTAAATGACAACATGATGACGACACTACGGACAAATCCAAGAAGGAATCAAACATTTTGAACATACTTATCGAAGAGTTGGTGGAAAACCTAAAAATTTGGTAACTCTAGGTCTGACATCATCTATCTCACATCGCTGATAGACTAAAGCTGAGTCACCCATTCCTTTATATCACAATATCACTAATATGAGCCAATCGGTGATACGATCTTATTATAGTCGAACCTCATTATACTGAAGTTTCAGGGGAGGCATCTACAATTTGGTATAATGAGATATTTGGTATAACGAGGTACCTCTATATAACGAAGTTAGATCTAAGGTCAAGCAATATTCGGTATAATGAGACTTGTGTGAATAATATCTTTACTTCAATTTATAATCAATAATACATGAATATAATAAAACAATTATACTAATCAGTAACAAATGAATCAATTCGAGTTTGTTTTTACTTTGCAATATTATGCAATTCTATCTTTCTCTTTAATGCACGAAAGACTTTAAATTCATCATAATTAATTTCTATATCATCTTGTTGAAGGAAGTTGAATGTGCAACTATTGCATCTTTAGTAAAGACAGTAGAAAGAGATTTTGAGCTACTTTCATTATCATCTTTCTCTTCTTCTGCAGAAAAGAGTGAAGAAATAATTTTGTTATCTGTCACCATTTCCTTGTTTATATCTCTGTTATCAATTGTAATATAATTCGAGGCAGATAATGAGAAATCAACTGATAAATTGTCAATCAAACTCTGAATAGCTAGTTGCTGTCGAGATATAATGTTAGTTACTAGAGATGGTGCAGCAAGTATATGACACTTATTTGTCATTCGTTGCAACACGTTGCAACTTCAAAATTTTATAAGCTGCAACTAGTTGCAACTAGGTGATGCTTTATTTGTCACCACGTTGCAACAGTTACTATGCCATCTTTATTAGTTACTATATTACTTGCTTTTTCGATTTCTTTATGAATTAATTCATTATTTTCAAAAAAAATAATTCCAACAATTAGTAATTGTGATCGAAGTAACATTATCTCATGCTTTGGCAACAAAATTAACTGCTTTCTTAATATCAATGGATCTTGACTTATTACCAGTAATTTGTTGTTTATCAAAAGCTTTTATTTTTTTTGAGTAGTAGTTTCTGATAATGAACTTGTACACAATAATAAAATGATTTAAGAACATAATATATGATAATTAATATTTACTTGTATTAGTGTACAAATCTTAAAACTATAAATTATTCCTGCATCTAATAGTTATAAGTGCAATATTGTATTCAGTGGTAGATAATAAATTATCATATTCATTAAATTAAGACTATCCAATAAATTATGTATTGGAGCATTGTCAACTAATAGCAATATATTACAATTTGTCTTATGCATTTTGTTATCTAATTTTTTTAAATAATCATTCCATATGGATATTTGCATTCATGCTTTGCTATTTCAGTAATAATCCACAGGTAATGAACTTTTACTAATTTTATTCAATGAACGTGGATTTTGGTATTTATGAATAAATAATAGAATTAGTTTTTCAGTTCCAGTTGCATTGCATGTTAATAAAATGATAATTCTCTCTTTGCTTTGTTTTATTTCTGATAAAGATCCAGTTGATAATCCATGTGTAGGCTCCATCTTCCAATACAGATCTGTTTTATCACAATTAAAAACATCATCTGGTTAATACTGTTTAATTACGGTCTTCAAGCTTTCTCTCATTTTTGGAATCTCTTTAACTGGTGCACTTTGAGACTCGTCATGTTTATTGAATGAGAGAGCCTGTAATTGTTAGGTTACATTCAAGTCCCTTTTCAATCCAAATAATTAGAGCTTCTTTAACTTTTGGCATATTCGAGATAAGATTGCTTGCCAAAATCTCTTAGTGACTGCTGAAATTCTGTTGAAATTATAATAAACTATTAATAAATAGCCTGCAAAATTCTGATGAGTTTTGAAATCTGTCATAACTGAAATTATACCAAAATTCTAATTAACAATTAGTGTATAACCTGTTGAAATTATGACAATATTTTTCTGAAAGGATTTAGGCAAGCATTCTTAATTTAAGGAATGTGCTTTTTGCTTGATATGAAGTCAGGTTGATTGTGAGCCATTTAGCAGAATTTTTCAAAATATCTGTAACTTAGCCTAAACTAATTCCAAACTGCTTTGTGAGATTAACATTTTTTGGCTCTGGCACATTTTTCTTTAACAAGCAAATTTCATGCTTTTGTAATATTGAAATAATATTATATTATTTGGTTTGTTGAGACATTTTATTGATCAATTGTTAAAATATATCAAAAGACAAATTGAAAATATGAAAACTCACGTTGTTTATATAACAATTTGTTAATGATAAAATTATTTCTCTAATTATATTTATATTTCAATATTAATCATATAATCAAAAATTGCATGATTAATCAAAGCATGATTAAAGTATGTCTTCTCATCGACTTGAAAATGCTTCTATATACAATTTTAAATTATTACGCTAATCCTATGTTAATTCTAAGGTTAGTAATTTACATTAATAATTTCTTTTAACATGACTAAATACTAATTATTTGATTATCTTTCAATTGTTTAGCTGATTGTTATCTCCCTTTTTTTACAGTTACTATTGTTACATACATTTCATTGATGCTTTTTTAATTGTCCAAATGATTATCAGAATTATTCTCTCAATAATTGTTACTATTACTGTTACATATATTAACTATCATTTGATACTTCTGATTGTTCAAACAATTATTCTGATTGTTACTCTCTCAATGATCGTTGTATATATTATATTAAAAGAATGATCATAATTAAAAAAGAAAAAGATAATATCTATCACTATTTCTAACTAATTTGATTTACAATAGAACTTACACAAGAAACTAATTTTGGAAGTATTATCATTATGAAAAGATTTTTATGTAGAATTTGAGGATCAAAATTATGAAGTTAGAGAATTTAATGTTATTTTGGTAACAATACAATGTGAAATCATATGATCAAAATTGTATGATCTTCATCTGTTCAGCCAATTACTATTCTACATTTTTATCATGTGATAAATCTTTGATATAAAAAGATTAGTAATATATGTAAAAATTCTGTATCAAACTTCAGTAACAGTATAAAGAGATTTTACTATTAAATTCATTATAACGAGAAGATTTTACTATTTAGAAAATAAAGAGAACCAGAATTCCTTCAGTATAATGAAAATTTGGTATAATGAAGTTTGATATAACGAAATTCAACTGTACACTTTTGATATATGTTTAACAAAATATTAGAATTACTATAGAAAAAATATTCAGATCATACTGCAAAAACTAATTAATGATGATATTAGGAACAGCTAGCTAAAAAGATTACCGAGTTTACACTTTGAAAAGAGCCTGAAATATATGCTATTTTTGTTGAAGCTGGAGAAGATAAGATATAACAAGTTAAATCTACCATGACTTATACTATAGCAAAATTATCTTGGTCAAAAATTGACTATATTGTTATTTTGATGTGATACACTATATCACGTGATATTATGACACAACAGGAACTTCTCCAGAATTGCCAACAAAAACTCATGTTCACGTAAATACAGAATATTAATATTAAAAGCTATTTTATAATTAGGGTAAGATTTAGAGTGGAGATCCATGTTTTTTCATTAAAAATTGCGCATTTTTATTGGTTTGTGCCATCTGAAAGGATGTTATTATTATATTATGCTGCATTAGGCTTATGTAAGCGTGAATTTTTGTTGGTGATACTGGTAAAGTTGCACAATAGACCAGAAATTTTATCTTATTTTTTAAATATATTAGTTTTAGTATTATACTTTAATAAAGTTTCATCTGAATTAGGCTTATTACAAATCTGATAACGTAGTGATCAGAACTTGTAGAAAAATGAAAATTCAGATATCATGCGTATCAGTTAAATCAAACTTTTCATATAAACATGTACCAAGTTGTTTACTCCTGATTCTCACCATGATGTAAAATTAATTATTAGTTTAAAAATTTTGCATTCTTTTTTTAATAACAACGTGAGAAAATGAATATCACCAAAGCTCGAAATACATCTATTGAAACTGATCAAACTCCTTTTTTAGAAGAAACCAACTTTAATATTGTGAACAAAACACAAGGTATTGGAAGCATCACTTTTTTTCAAGTATTATTAGTATTGAAGTCATTAAATTTTAATTTTAATCAATGAATTGTTCTATTACTCACCTGACAACGATGATTATAGTGACTCAGAAGAATCTCAGTTGCTAGCAATTAAGTGCAAAATTTGTATGTATCTGATTGATTATGACTCAAAATAATTCAAGTCAATATTAATGACAATATTTTTTATGCAATTATCGAGTAGAAAAATGAGCTCAGAGTATTGTGATCCTGATTGTACTATTATAATAAAAAAGTTGATTTCAAAAGATTTATAAGTTTGCATCACTGTAAAAAAAAAATTTTTGAACATATCAGGCAAAAATCCAGTTTTTTGTATTAATCCATTTTTTATCTGGAATATTTTCTGGATAAAAAATGAATTAATACAAAAAATTCAGTTTTACTTTAACAAAAATCTATTTTTATTGCCGGAGTAAAAACAGTTTTTAAAAGTTCTGACATACTTCTGTTTTTTTTTACTGGATGAAAAATGGATAGTGTTTTTATGAACTGAACTGAACTGGACTTTTGTCCAGGTTCGAGTTGGTTCAAAATTTGAATTAAACTCAAACCGGACTTTGACTTGAGTTCAAGAAAGGTTCGAAATTCGAACTGAACTTGAACTGAACCGTTAT